CACACACACGCACACGCACACACACGCGCACACACACACACACACATTCTCTCTCTCTCCCTCTCTCTCTCTCACTCTCCCTCTCTCTCTCTCTCTCTCGCGCGCGCGCGCTGAGAGACAGACAGAGAGAGGGAGGGAGCGCACGGTCTAGCATAGCTGTGTGCCTATCTACGAGTTTTTTTTTTTTTTTTAATCAACCAATCAATCAATCAATCAATCAATCAATCAATCAATCAATCATTCAATCAATCAATCAATCAATCAATCAATCAATCAATCAAGCAGTCAAGCATTCAATCAATCAATCAATCAATCAATCAATAGACAATCAATCAATAGACAATCAATCAATCAATCAATCAATCAATCAATCAATCAATCAATCAATCAATCAATTTTTATTTCTTTATTTTGTTTTTTTTCCCCCATTGTGATGATTTTTATTTTTTAAAAATATAAAAAAAGACCAAAAAATAAAATAAAAAATACGGGGGTGTAGAGCACGAAAAGCTCTACACCCCCATTTTTTTAATTTGTTTTTCGTTTTTTTGTTCGGGGGGTTTCGTCATTATGTACGGGGCCGTTCATACGGCCGTACTGCCGTCCGTACGGCCGTACGAGCAGAGCCCCGTACGTCATACGGAGTGTTACACAGCCTCCTCTCGTCCCCTGCGCAGGGGACCATCATTGAGGTCCATCCCACCAGCGGCCGAGCGTGGAAATTTTCTCGGTGTTCGGCTTGGTTTCCTGAAGAAAGATTACGTTTGCTTTATTCTCATGAATCCATGACTTCAGTCTGGGCTTTTTCTATCGCCCATTAGTATCACCAAGTCCCCTCACGTTCCAGGTGACAATGCGCAACTCAGGTTTGAGCACCATTGTCAGCTGTTGAGCTTGTGAGGGATTGGATGTGGCTCTTATGGGCAACACTTGAGGTTCTTTTTTTCCCAGGCTCAGGATCTGACTTACTTGGCCATGCATCTCTCAGCATTTTCCTGAAGTGTGGCGACAGAAAATTCTTCGTTGCTGAAATGCTTTTGTGGATATCTGTGATAAATTTGGGGTGAATACCATCCGCCAACAACAGCGAGTCCAGCTCAACTGCATGGGGGTTGCTGAGCAGCTGCAGAGGAAACCAGGAAATACTTCCTTGCCTGAGTTCTTCTGTAGCTGCTGTGGTCAGCCTAATTTCTAATATGGGTACAAAAACCAGATACATTGCACCCGAATTTCCCACCAGGGTACGATGCTTCAGCTTGTATCCTTTCATCATTCTCACTGGGCATCTGTTTAGAAGCAGTTTCCTTGCTTTGTCTAGTACCACCAGGTCTGAAGGAGTACCCACTTCCTCTGATGGGAGGATGGGTAACACATTCTTTCCCTGTCCTACATCAACAGTGAGGCATAAGGTGTCTGCAAGTGTGGATACACATATGAGGGGAACGATTCTCCTGATCACCTTGTCCTTGTCCTATTGCAGGGTTTTGACATTGTTGTTGTCTGAATCCTGTCCCATATTCTGAATTTGTGTTCCTCTGCATGGTTCTGCACCTTCAGTCATGGTGATGGGCTTCGTGGCCTGCCAATCTTGAAGCCTAGTCATCTTGGGACTGGGAGATTCCACAGGGGGGGGTTGCCCCTGCTTCCGTGTCTGATGTGGGAGCTTCCTTGCAAGTTCCGGTGACGAGTCCGACAGGTCCGGACAGTCCTTTAGCGCCAACCCAAGCCCCATTCTCCGTTGCTTGTAGGGGGATTTTGACCGCTTGTTTGGGGTTGATGTGTCTGTGGAATCATCTGGTATGCCACCGGGTAAGCCTGTGCTTACGTTTTCTTTGGGTTTTCCGGCTGCTGGAGTAGCAGTGACTGAGGCAGCCATGTTGGTGGGTGTGCTTTTCCCGCTGGGGGCGGAGGGCTGTGCTTCTGCATTGCGCAAAACTTTCACATTCATTACCTTTGCTGCGCCCTGTTTACGCAGTGCATCAAAAACCTTCTGAACCAGACTTTGGGTCGTCGTTCTTCTCTGATCAAGGTAGTAGACGTTATTATCGAACAGCGTAGTGAAAGTCTTGCATACATTGGGAGTTAGAGCGCTTGTGCTGGTGGCCTTGTGCTCTGTGTTCTGTGCCACCCAAATTGGTGAACCATGCTCTGACGGAGGCCGAACGGGCAGGGGGGAAGGAGAACGCGAGGGGGTAGGGGAAGGGGACGGGGAAGGAGGGGGGGGGGGGGGGGACGGGAGGGGGGGGGGGGGGGGGGGGGGGGGGGGGGGGGGGGGGGGGGGGGGGGGGGGGGGTCGTCTTCAGGGGGAGGAGGGGGGGGGGCATGAAGGGTGTCTAGGCACCCACCCTCCTCTCCCCCCCCTTCCCCCTCTCCAACCTCGATTGCTTCTGCTTCCTCTCCTTCCTCTCCCTCTTCCCCTACCGCCTCTTTCCCGTGGCGGATTTGTCCGGGTCTCCTCTGTTGAATGGGCCTGTGCTGATGATGATTCTTCTTGTTCCGATGTTGGATGGACCGGCCCTTTGTACGGGCAATCTACCGTCCTGTGGCAGAACCAACGGCAGGTTTCGCACCAAGGGGTGTCCTGTGTTACAATGTCAATGACATGGGCGTCTCCATCTGCATATCTGAGTTGGAATTTCTTGTTCACTTTATGTTTGACAGAGCTGGGGATATCAAACTTGAAATGTGACAGCTCTTGTTCATTGGAATCTCTCAAAATGGGATATTCTTTGAGGATCAGACCAATGTTGGTTTCCACGAAGGTATGCATCTGGGGCACCATTCTCCGTGGGACATGCAGACCCATTAACCAAAAAATTGCTTTCTTTCTCTTTCGTCTTTCTCTCTTCAAGTTCTTTCTTTGTTTCCCATCCAGAGAAGAAGGCCAAGTACTGCAAGGAAGATGAGCAATAGCGAACTTCAGCAATCAAACAGCATCATACATATGAGTCCAGATAGTTGTGACCTCGAACCAACAGCAGAATTGCATCACGAGATTCACCAAATAAGAACACACCAAGAGTTCATAATTGACAATGCTGAAATAGTCCCATCATCATCAACGAAGAACCAGAGTTGATATCCTATCTGGCGCTCGGCGCCCAGACTACATGTGGCAGATCCTATCTAGTCTATACTACGAAGCCGAAAGATGACGTCAACAGCATTCCCGAAGTACGAGCATATGGCGACCAATGTCGCACGCTTCCAGCACCAGGTATGTCTCGAGCTACACTCACAACCTCGTTCCCCAACTCACAGATGCTACTAGCACCCAAGGACCACCCTGCGCCTCACCCGGCTTACAGCAGCGCAGCTCGGCTATGGCTGCGTGCTCCTTCCCTGCTCGCCCGTGAGAGCGTAGGCGCCAGCCAGCAAATAGCGCAGCATGCAGCCAGCACCCGAATGCCGAATGAGGAGGCAGGCCCTTTGGTATATCCAAGTGGCCTGCCTGCGTCCAGTCCCAGGAAGCTTCCAGTAGGACCCGGTAGCCTGAGGCCCAGCACGACGTGAACAGGCCTTGGGCCTGAGGTGGTTGCATGTGCCCAACTGCCTTTGGCCTGTGTTTGGCCCGGTACCCATATCCAGCCCAGGGCCTGCTTCACATACATTCACACAGGCGGCCCAGGGCCTGGGTTCACTCAACCAACTGGCGCTGCGCAACTGCCTGAATTTCCCTGAGTTGCAGGGCTGTCTCTTATACACATCTAGATGTGTATAAGAGACAGATGGTGGCCAGAAAAGGGCCCTGAGGGCCTCTTCGAGCCTGCCTTCACTTAGGGCGGCCGACGGGCTGCAAAAATGGGGCCTTATGGGGCTTATAGAGGCAGTGGCCTCGCATTCCCTTCTCCTTAGCTTCAACAGTCCTATGAGAAGCTCAGTCTTCAACCATTGGGCGCTTTCCCTTCTGCAGAGATCTCTCATATTGGGTTACAACTTGAGGAGCGGTCTGCATGAGTTCTTCCCTGGTGAACCAGCGGTCCTCCTTCGGATCAGTGTGATGCCGGAACCGAACGAGGTACTGCAGCTTCGGTTTCGGAGGACGTCCCCTGCCTGCTGGTCTTGATACCGGCAGCTCTTTGTGATCCACGATATCATCAATGTCCACCTCTCCGTCCATGGTTGGGGGCAGCATTGAGCGACGAGATGGAAATTGATCAGTCTCTTTGAAAGGTGCCAGCTTGGAGGCGTGAAAGACAGGGTAAGTACGGAGATGACCAGGGATCCGGATAACATAAGATGGCCCATCCGGATCTGTACCGACGATGTCCAAGACTTCCCAAGGTCCAAAGTATTGGGGCATGAGCTTGCGGGAGATCCCGTACTCTTGTCCCAGTTCTGAAGACTTTACCCAGACCCTATCCCCAACCTGAAATGTAGAAGGCCGGTAGTGTCTATTTTTAGACTCTATCATTGCAGCCTGCGCCTTCTGCATCTGTTCTACAGCCTGCTGCATCTTCTGTTCATAGCGGTAAGCAAATTCTAAAGTACCTGGTGCAGCTGTTGACTGATTCTCAGGAAGGAGAAAATCCAAGGGTAGTCTAGGCTTGAAAGTCAGTAGCAAACTGTTCGGGCTCACCCCGGTGGCACTGTGTACCGCATTGTTATACAAATTGGCGATGAGTGCAAGCTTCTCATCCCAGTCCACCTGGTTGGGCTTGATGTAGTGCCTCAACAAGTGTTGTACAACGCGGTTCAGTTGCTCGGCCTGGTCGTTGGCCTCTGGGTGATTCTCAGAAATCATTTGCAACTGGGTTCCCTGTTCTGCAGCAGCGGCCTTCCACAGTTCGCTGGTAAATCGGACATCCGTGTCACTGATTATGGATTTCGGTAAGCCAAAATCCCTGACCCAATTCTCTTTAAACATTCTAATCACATACTCCGTCTTTGTTGTTTCCGACATTGCTACTAACCTAGCATACTTACTAAATCTATCCACAATGACGAAGATGTGACGCATCCCACTCTTGCTGGTGATTAGAGTATCCATGAAATCCATGGACAGACTCTCACCAGGCCGTTCCGAAATCGGAAGGGGCTTCGGAAGCCCAAGAGGAGCCTGAGTACGTGGCTTGTCCCGTTGACAAACTTGGCAAGTCTCCACGTATAGCTGGGCATCTCGCATCGTCGTGGGCCACCGGAACCGCTGCAGCAAGTTGGTTGCGGTTTTCTTATACCCAAAATGGCCGGTGGCATCATGACACTCACCTAAAAACAAACTATGCAAGGACTCGCTATTGGGAACACACAATCGTTTATTCCCTGCCTTCTCAAGGAACAGCAAGCCATTGACCAACTCAAACTCGGCAGAGGTCTTCTTGTCTTTTGCCTGAAGTCTGTGTATGATCTCAGACATGAACTGGTCCTCGCGATAGACTTCCACCAAGGACTGAGTAACATGGTCCGACAGATTGAACTCTGTAATCAGCGCACCCGAGAAATCAGGTCTACGCGACAAGGCATCCGCAACCTCATTGTACTCCCCTTTCAGATACTGAGGGTCGAAGTCATACTGCTCAATGACTTCGATCCAACGCTTGAGGGCGTCTGAAAGTACAGGTTGGGTTCTCATCCATCTCAGGGTCTGATGATCAGTCCTGAGGATGAAGAATCTCCCAAGGAGATAGTGTCTCCAATGGGTCAGAGCCTTGTAAACCGCATAGAGTTCCTTCTCATAGGTGGACTTAGCCAACTTCTGAGACGACATTTTCTTGGACATGTACTCTACAGGCCTCAACTTTGGCCCCTCTTGTTGTGCGAGCTTGGCGCCAATGCCATATTGGCTGGCATCCGTGGTGACTATAAACGGCTTATCAGGATCAGGAAGTTTCAAGACCTCGTAGTGCGTCAACGCATGCTTCGGATGTCTGAAAGCAGCCTCGCACTCGTCTGTCCACTCCCATGGGGTGTCAAGGCGGGTCAGATCAGTCAAAGGAGCGGCCACTATACTATAGTTCTTAACGAAGGTCCTATAGTAGCCTGTCATCCCTAAGAAAGATCTCATCTCAGTCATAGACTGAGGACGTGGCCAATCACGAATGCTGGCCAACTTCGCGCCATCGGGCTTCAACCCTTCCGCGGAGATCTCATGACCCAACTTCACCCAAGTACAAGACACGGGTGCGGCCAAACTCGCACTTCTCACCGTTGATCTTGAACTTGTGATGTCGCAGGAGACTGAGGACTTTGTCCAAATGTGCAACATGCTCCTCGACAATCTTACTAAAAATAAGTATGTCATCGAGGTACACGATGACAAACTTATCCAAGTAGTCATGGAATATCCTATTCATAGCGTGCTGAAAGGTGCCAGGAGCATTGCAAAGGCCGAAAGGCACCACCACAAACTCGTACAGACCGTACCTGGTCTGAAAGGCAGTTTTGTGTTGATCCTCGGGCCGGATTGCAATCTGATGGTACCCGGACTTCAAATCTATCTTGTTGAAGTACCGACACCCTTGCACTCTATCTAGCAGATCGTCGATGCACAGTAGGGGCTCTTTGTTCTTTACAGTGATGGCATTGAGGCCCCTATAGTCAATGCACATCCTAAGTGTACCCTCCTTCTTCTTAGGTACGAATAGTACTGGAGATCCATAAGGAGAGACACTCGGCCGGATCCAACCTTTCTCTACGAGTTCCTTGAGTTGGCGGCGAAGCTCATCAAGCTCGCCTGGAGACATCCGATAGATCCTACCCTTCGAAATACTTGACCCTGGGATAATCTTTATCGCGTGGACGACCTCCCTCTCAACAACCCCTGTCGGCTCTTCAAATAGATCAGTGTACTTAGCAACTACTCCCTCTATCTCCGACGGCATTTTCACTGGCTCGCCAGCAGCAGAGACAAAGACTAAATGCATACCCTCCTCCTGATTTTGCTTATAGTAATTGTAGAACGCGGCCGCACACATGCACCCATAAGACTCAATCAGACTACTGACTTTGAACTTATGTAATCTGGCAGTCCCTCCACCTGGCAAATTGTGTTTGACCACTTTTTGGTCCCAGTCAAACTGGGGTTGTGCCACAGAGAGGTAATACATACCTAGTAACATATCCATTGGGAGCTCGTCACTCACTAGGAACGAGACACGATGTCTCAAGTCCCCTCCCTCGTACGGGAAACAACACTCAACATCCTGGAGGTAGTCATTGACTACCATGCGCTGTTTGTTGGCACAGGTCGACTCAGGCGCTGCACTCGCCCCTGTAAACGCAGCCTCTCAACGCACGTGCGACTGATAATGTTCCGTGTCGAGCAAGTGTCATAATAGGCCCCGGCCTTGCGGCCGCCAATAACAACCTCGCTGACGAACATCTCACCCTTAGGGGCTTTGACTAGGGCCGTCCAAAACGCTAGCGGGTCTGATGTAGACCACTCCACTTCTAGCTCCTCTAAGGACTCAAACACATTCATCGAACAGAGGCTGGATAGGTTTGAATGTGTTTGCGGGACGACGCTGGAGTCAGTAGCTTGGGCCATCTCTCGAGATGGTGAGGGTGTCTCCACCACCTCAACCCTAGCAGGAACAACTACATTTCCTACTGCCAGTGGCCCGACGTGTTTTCCGGAGCACTGCCTGACGTACTGGCAACATTGCTACCAACTGGATGAGAGGATCCCAACGCCTGCCCCATAGTAGGCGGGATCTTTTATGTCACCTTCTTATTGCGGCACTTAAATTGGCTGTGGCCATATTTACCACAACGAATACAGGCCTGCCGTGAGTAACGGTCTCTCCACACGTCCTCTGTAAGACCCGCTTTCTCCCATGGAGGAGCATTGGGGTCAACTTGACTCCTAGACCGGGAACCTCCACGGCCTACCGGTCACCTTTCCTTTTTGAGCTACGACAGCGACCACTCCACCCTCTGAAGTTTCT